TGAAGTCAGTGACAGCATTTTCTACTTACTTCAGTGGGAGCAGGATGGAGCACCTAAAGAGGAAATTGTTTCCTGATATGAAAATTGCCTCTCTCAGAAAGTGTGTGATTCTTTGTGATTCATCTCCTCTTGTGGTGAGATGGGGCAGCTGGCATGCATTACAGGCACCTTGGAAATAAAAAATGGGAAAATATGCAGCTTCCAAGCATAATGAAACCATGCTGTTGCTAAGACGGGGGCTGCAGGAGTACCTCTCTTTAAGGTTATCCCAGCATTTCCATTTTAAATGTTGGTTTTGAGTTATTAACAATTTTCACCCATTTCCTCTGTAGCTAGACTAGAAGAAGCCCAGATTTTCAAGGCTTGATCTTCTGTAAGGACAGTGTGTGTGAATGCATGTGCGCATGTGCATGTACAGCTAAATCAATAGAGAACTGGACTAAGGCAGTGTGTCGTAACAAAGAGCCAATAGATATATTTGTGTAACGCATCATTCCTCTGAAAATGCTAAGCATGATCTAACCAACATCAAATATGAGAATGCCCTAGATTACTTCTCAGCTGATGGGTGTCTATACAGCCAAATACAAGACTGCTGCATACTATGTTCCAGCATCGTAAAGAAGGAGCTCTGTTGTTGTGGCAGGGCAGAAGCCTTTGAGCACTATGCTAGTATGCCTTGGCCTGACAGGTGGGAGAGGTGCACATCTGAAGGTAGATGTGGGATGGCAGTTATCAGCAGAGCAATGAGTTGGCTAGGGCTGCATTGTACTCCTGGGTTTGCACATCAAACCTTGACTCCAGTATTTTTCCATCTCTGCACATGTGGGTCCCAGGCCCGTCCATGGCAAGAGATCAGAATATAAGAGGCAGGATCCGCTGTGTAGATTCAGTTGCAGAGTTTAGCCTGGAGAGACCCCTAGGCAGTTCGTACAGGAAATAGCCGTGTCAGATCAACTCCGCAGGAAATGATTGGGGCCTGCTGGCAAAAGTGCAGATCCTGCACATTTTTTTTCTCCTTTTCTACACAATCCAACAAAAAAGTTTCTAGCTAGCACTTCCCATGCTGAAAAGCCTTTGAAACAAACCACATCCTCCTGAAAAACACAGGCCCCCTCTGCACCAGCAATTGCAAAAGAGAGCAAGCCTGCATCACCTGCCTGGCCTCAGTAAGGTGTTGCTTTCAAAGCCATAGCAGGACAGTGGAGATAGTCTTGTCTGTGCCTGATCAGCTGTATAGTTTAAGATCCCATCTCTGCTGTATCACTGCTAGGGTACTCTTTCGAGCAAGGCAGTCCTAAGATAGGGGAATGCACTGATTCATCCTACAGTGAAGTCACAGTAGCTGCAGTTTAGGTGGGATTTAAAATGTCCTCTGCGACACCAATTTGTGCAAAGTGGGCTCTCTTTTTCCTTATTCCCTGGCATACCCCTGCTTTCTAGGCTAGGTAGGAGTAGGTTTCTTCCTATTATTTTTCATTCTCAGCACATTGGTAATGAGGTGTCTACCCTCCAACCCAGAGAAAAGGATCACGGCTCCTTTACAACAGTATAGACTGTGTCATTTGGGAAGAGGTGCTGTGCATCATCAAGGTCGGCACCGTATTCCCACATCATCAGCACTTCTCCAACTCGTGGGCATGGGGATGGAAGTCTGAGTCTAGACCTTTGCTACCTGATAGTGATATTCCATCACTGCATTGCTGCTTCAATGTTATGACTATTTGTTAAAGGGTAAGGGAGGCAGGTAGAGCTTGAGGCTGAGAATCACAAAGCCTGGGTTCTTTTTTTTTTTAACTTTGTTAAAGCAATTTGATATCTTCTACCCTATATGACCACAAAGCAGGCTTTCTAGTGCTTTGTGGCAGCAGGTTAACTGTTGGAGAATGGACTCTGCTTTAGGGCTCCTGGTGTTTGTGCCCTGACTGCCACTCACTGGGAGGAAGCCTGTTACCTACTCTGTGTTTCGGCCTCCTTATCTCTCAAATGAGATCCCCCCCACTCAGGGATGCTATGGAGGCTTTTTTAGTTAGTGTTAGGAAGAAACTTTGAGTCTCTTACAACTGCCAGAGGAAGTATTTAAAGCGAGTCAGCAGTTGTAGCACTTACTGTGCTATTTATTTATTTATTTTCTCCTTCCTTGCTTCCCTCTTAATTCATTCTTCCCAACCTGATTTGTCTCTGCAGTAGTTTTTCCACCATCCTTTGCTTTTTATTGTTCTTCCTTTTTCATAGAGTTGAAAAGTCTGACTGGGTGCATCCAGATGAGTGCGCACATGTGGTTTGTGGCGCCTCAGAGCTGTCTGAGGTGCCTCGGACCACACACAGTGCACATGTACTCATTCGCTGTGCTGCTAATTTGCAGCGCAGTGCCAAAATTTGACACTGGGAGATCCCAGTGTCAAAAAAGGTACGTGTATGTGTATACAAATAAATAAAAGCACCGTGGCACACACAGCAGCAGCCTGCACCACCAGAAACAGCCTGGCTATCCAGAGCCATGCTCTGGCTGCCGGCCATGCTCTGTGCAGCTGGATCAGCACTGCTGCTGCCTCAGGAGGCCCCCAGAACCCCAGGTAAGGCTGCAGGTGCTGGCTCCAGCCTCCTCTACCCCACCTGGGACATTCGGTGCACACTGGAGCACACGTGCAGGGTCATGCCTTGCGGCACAAAACAGTGGCACAAATATGAGCTGTTGCTATTTGTGCCGTGGCAAATGCACACCTCTGTGTGTGTACGCTTGTCTGGATGTGCCCACTGAGTCCCAGGTAGCCCATTTCTTGGCTGGTGCAGAAGTGTCTCTGGAGGAGTCCACCTGGCCTAATTTTAGGTGTCTGCAATAATGAAAGTTTCTGGCTGATCATTTATGGGACTTGAACAGCTTAATAGACCTCTTACGGTTCTCCAGTTTAATATCAAATTCATCTTGGGTGCAAATCCATTGATTTTCATTGGGGCATATCAAGGCTGGGTTTATCTCAGTTTAAATGTTCCTTTGATTAGCTTCATCTCATTCTTCCTAACGATACTTTATTAGGTCATCCTGACTAATCCTTCTCCTTCCTTAGTGTTCATAGCCTTCAAACACTTTCTTATCCCATTTTCCATTTGTCATTGTTTTGGGAAGCAATGCATATTTGCTTGTGTTAAACTTCCCTCATCAATTAATTGCAGCTAACCATTGCATCATTTCTCATGCTCTTTCCTGAGTTCTGTCTTATTTGCTGACACGATGGTAGAGC